GCCTTGCCTACTCAAATTCCTCAAAGCACAAACCACCCAATTCTGTCTTCTCTTGTTAGTCTGATTCCCCAGTAACACATTTAAAAGCCCAAGAACAAGAGAAAAAAAGCCAAACCATCCGTCCTGCACAGACCCCCAAAATAAGTCTGGCTGCTACTCTAACACAAGGGGGTCCCTTTTCTTTTTTCTCACACCAAAAAAATTGAACCAAAGCAAGAACAATTTCTCTTGCTGCTGCCTCTGGAACCACATCAAATTACCTTTGCACCCCATGTACTTGATTAAGGGGTTGTTCACCACCAGCACAGCCATAAAGCCAAGGGCATGAGTGTTTTCTAAACCACATTCAGTAGTGTGACACTATAGGTTTGTGAGTTCGTCCTCACCTGCAGAGACTTGGATTAACGAAAATACCCTAGCTAATTTTGGCACAGGCTAGATTAACATAAGAAAGGAACAGCAAAAGTCTTAAGAGTCAGATCTGAGACTCTAAAAAAGGGTAGATTAAAGTCATAAAACAAATTCCCTGGATTGATCTAGCTTTCTCTCTTGGTGTTTGTTTTCACAGTGTGAAGATCAGATACATGTCTTCCCCCATCACGTCAATTTGACCACAAACAAGACCTTGAACATAGCTTCTTCCCTGTAACAGATTCTCTGAAATGCCATGTTCAGTAAATGAAAAGCTGCCTCTTTCATTTGTCAGCGTTACAGCATGCAATAACGTGGGGGAAAAAATAACACACTTGTTGCTTTTACAAAACATCAGTGAATTATCCAGCTGATTCCCTGAACAGCACAGAGCAGGTAGCAATGGGGGTCTACAAGTAAACTGGGAAGCGTCCCGCTTTTTAATTCCTTTAAGCAGGTCATCATGAAACAGATACTTACAAGATTAGATGGCCAAGTTTTCTCTTTCTTTCTTTAAAAAAAGTCTGAAAATAAAATGTCTCAAGTTCATTTTGACGGTTGCATATTCCCCATTACCCCACATTTTCTAGTGGGGCTGAAAAAAAACCTGATGACTTTCCTGTTTCTTATGCAACACCTTCCAAGCTGCTAGAGAAGCTCTGCAAATGAGGTTTTGAGCTTGCTTTCCTCATGAAGAAAGTCTAGAAATGCCATTTGACACTACCAAAGGCTTCAGTTTCACTGTTTCTTGCCAACAAAGCAAACTTAAGTGCCAGCACTTCAAGTGCAGAAGACTTTGCTGGAACAGATTATCTGATCACAAGAAATACCACAAATGCAAGTCAAGTGCAGCAGGGTGAAAAGACAAAAGGTATCTAGTGATACTTGTTGAAATGCAAACAGCTTAACTTCTCTCCTCATTGGATTACTTCACACACAGGACTAAGCCTATCCAAGTGAAAATACAGCTGGAAAAGAGTTTGTACAGGCTAATAACCAGTGAAGAGCTGGAAAGCCATATTCATCCAAAACACAAGAATATCATATAACTCAAGAACACATCCCCATTTACCATTTTGAACAGCAGGTCAAATGATTCATTAAAAAAAATTGCCACATTTTAAAATGAGAAATAAATCTTCAGAAGTCATCAATCTGCTTATCTTTCTGAACCACTCAAAACTAAGACTAAACCAGATGAAGCAATACCAATTATTCACTCAGCTCAAGTTTAAAGCAATCAAGAATTCCTTTTAGGGAAATGTATGTAGACAACAATAGCAAACTCATTGCTTGTAAACCTTCAAAAAAGCAGTAGTTGCAGTGAAAAAAAACCCACTGTACTTACTGGAAAGGACGGTTGTGAGGAAGATGTAGTCAGAAAAAGAAATGAGTCCACATTCTCCAAGTGCATAAAATATGCTGTCCTCATCAGCAAACTTCTCTCGCTCCTGGGATAACTTCTATTTATTCATCCGACCCACACCCCAAAAAGAGAAAATAAAGCATTTCATTAAATAGAGAAACGGAAAGCTTTATTTGTACCCTTACCACCAAGCCATTCCACCTACACACACCCCTACTATCTCCATTCATAGTCAGTGGACCTTTTCCAGCCTTCAAATCTGTCAGAAATGCTCTGCAGAGATCAGTGCTTCCCCATCTCAAGTAAAGGATAAGGAATTGCACAATATTAATTAGCTATTTTAGCCTAGCCAAAACACACATAAATAAAACTATGTCCACTTTGCTTAAAATTATCTGAATCTTTGAGAGATGTGTTATAAAAAAATCAGGTTTGTTAATATAGGATTCAAAAAGGAAATTACTATATTTCACTAATAGCGTTTTAGCTATACTCTGTTGTAGCAGTAGCCAAGAAAGAACTATATTTCACAGGAATATAAAGAATGATCACAGTTATCAAAAACTTGTAGTTATCAGAAGCATGTGATTCAGTAGCGTATTTAGGACCAGGACCAATATCAATCAATCTCTCTCACTCCAGTTCTTTTTCAACACTTTGTTTTAATAGAAAATACCACACGTGTTTTATCAGCTAATCTCCCTTACTAAGCTAAAAATCTAAGTCCCTTTGATTCACTGAAGTTCCAAAGACTGAAAAGGATCCATAAAACTGTTAGAAAATGCACACTGAAATCCACGCTGGTGATCCAGTGTAAGAACATAGCAGGAGGAGGCACACACAGAAGAAAATGAAATTAATATAAAGAAAAGTAGGTGTGGATGAGGTTATTCCACAGAAACCAGGTCATGCAAGCACAGAAGCAGTGAAAGCAAGGCGGAATTTAGGAGCAGTTTTAGGAAAAACCACTGACAAACACCACCATACGAGGGGACAGAGCTACACAACTGTCCCCCACCGTTACCTCTGTCTAGCGGAGATCCCATCATATACAAGATAAAGGAAAGAAAACTAGTTAACTGACAATAAAATAAGCAGGCAAAACATGACATCAAGTTTAACAGTTAGACTTGTGAAGAGCAAGAAAGTTTTGAAGCAACCAGGTTGCTGTTTTGACTGGGCACCGCTAAGAAGCCTAAGTAGACATCCCAGCAAGAGTTAGCACCGAGCCTCTCTGGGTCAGACTCACTGTCTGCAGCTGATGCATCTCATCCACCTCATTTTTTTTTCCTCTTGGGTGCGTTTTTTCGTTTTTTCGGGTTTTTTTTTTGTTTGTTTGTTTGTTTGTTGTTGGTTTTTTTTGAGAGCACTCACCATTGTATGTGACTGCAGAGTGGGGATGAGTTCAGCTAATAATTTAGATGAAAATTTAACCCGTATCTGGCTCGGAAACCACAAGAAAAGAGACAAAAATAATCATATAGATCACCAAAAAATACAGTTTTCAGGGAAAAAAAAAGTTCAGCTCTACTGATCAAATAAAACTCTTCCTAGTAGCTCTTCCTTTACCATCTGGAAAGCATCAGGAATTTAATAAGAAGCAAATCACTAACAGCAGACAACATGTTAATGGCATCTGTTTCATGCAAGATAACTGCTACTTATGCTTACAGGATAGCAGGTTGAAGTATCATTTACTGAAAAAAAATGTTTTTGCTTCCCTTCCCACCGAGATGGTTCCAAAGCAAAGTTACACTGACACTTATGTTAAGGACAAATAAACAATGTTTGGTTTTCCTTTGAACTGAAAGGAGCATTTGTGGAGAGAGCAGTTTTCTGTGATTGCTGCCAGTGGCATTGCCAGCAGCATTCACCTGCCCATGTGATTTACTATGTCTTCCTCCGATTGCCTGTCTTTAGCAGCTTTTATCACAAACTAGCTATTAGCATCCTAATTCACCGGCTAAAAGGATCCTATGAAAAAGTTCCAGAGGCTGGTTTATTAATTTTTATGGGTTTCTTTTCTGCACTTAAAATTCATAGTCAGCAAACAGCTCAAAATATTCCTCATAAGCTGAAAACCACATCCATAGACTAACAATAAAAAAAAAGATATTAAGGTAGGTGCTCTCTGAAATACAAAGGTGTAGACAGATGGGAGGGAGAAGCATTTACTCATTTGCATCTTTGAGCAAACAAAATAAATTTATTTATTTATTTAACAAGAATTTACTTGTCAGAAACCTGAGAAAGGGGAACATATGCTGCGACAGTGGTGCTCAGCCTGCCTGCAGTTAATGTGAAGGGGAATTTCTTCCAGCAATAGTAATAGCAGAAAATACAACTGATCTGATCAATAAGATTTTCAGACTCTCAGCACTAGGAGAACAGAAGCTTAAAAATCGACAACTCCCATTTATTTTTTTCTGGCTCACTGAGAAGCTTTTGATTGCTTTCCACAAAGTATGTGGGAAGCTCACCCTACTACGGGAAAGGCTGAAAGCATCCTTCTCAGGGGTTGTTCCTCACCATGAAACATTATATTCTACAGAATTATATTGTAACCTCCAGGAAAAAAAAAAAAAAAAAAATTCAAAACCAAAAAAATCAGTCTACCTGCTTTACAAAGCCCAACGTGGACTGTTGTGATCCCTCAAAGTTCAAAGTTGAGAAACCCAAAGTCAGTCTTCACTGACACCTAAAAGCACTGTCTATAGATGTTGAGCTTCCTTTCCACATCTTACTTTACTTCCAGCATACTCTACCATCCCTCCTAACCAGAAATATAATGCATAGGATCAGAAAATGTAGGGGAAAAAAAACCTTTCCAAGACTTCATTCTCTTTTAGAGACTATCTTCAGAAATTACTTATCCACACAATTTCAGGGCAATTTTCACATTTCACACCCTTTTGTATCTGAACACAAGCAAATTCTCAAAGTGCTCAGTTAAAGCAGTCAAATGTCTTCCATATAAGAATTTTTTTCTGTTAAATCCATTCCCAAACCCAGAGTGATTGGTTAAGATCATTCAGCATACCCAAAAAAACATTCAAAACTGAGCATTCACAAGTGAGCAAGCCGCGGGAAACATTTTACAATGATGATGTATTTTTTAAAATCAAGCAGTAGATTCATATTAAACAACCACACAAACAAGCAAACATCCAAGTTACCTATAAAAAGAAAAAGAAATCCAAATATACCATTGCTTTCAGCACAAGCATGGCTGTGTAATTTCAGTGAAAAGCCATCAGTCCAGTCTCAGTGGACTGAGTCAGTCCAGTCTCAGTCTTTTTACAGGCATTCAGGCAAATTATCTTACAACACCAGACATTGACAACAGGTAAAAAAAGAATAATGTAATTGTATTTCAAAATACAAAGCTTGGTTTGCCATTTCAAATTCCGACTTCAAGCTCAACCAGCAGCAAAAGATAGGTTGAATACATTAATAACAGCGACCAACCTCCCCCAAACCCATGTGCTGTAGAAAACCAAGTTGCATGCCATATGCAGGTAACTCCTCAGACTTTGTTACAGGCTAGCTGCAAGCAAGCAAAGCACCCAAAGATATATCACAAATGTCACATATTCTAACCCAAAACTGATGTACTGCTGGAGTCTCCCTTGAGCCAAGTACATGGTGCAGCTCCCATGCCAAGAAGGATTTTGGGGAAAAAAACCCCAACCCACTGACTCCTTCCATTCCTTGCTAAATACTATTTTTATTTTGGAGCTAAAAACTGTTTTCCCAGGGCTGAGTGAAGAATGAAACATGTTAATACTTAATTATGCAAATCTGAAAAAAAAGGATGCATTTTTGCAAATAAAGGGATGCCTTCACTGCAAAGGCAGAGACTACTCAAGATGTAGTGCTGGTGTTTGCTCTGCATTCCTAATGTAAGTTTAGAAAAGCCTTGACTCAAGATGTAGTGCTGGTGTTTGCTCTGCATTCCTAATGCAAGTTCAGAAAAGCCTTATCAGCTAAATCCTGGCAGCTCCACTTCATTTTGCATTTCAGAAACTACTTAATGAGCAGCATTTAATTCGTGATTTTGGGAAGAACACATTCTTGGGAAGCCACTTAAACCTGACAGTTTGTGTTTCCATCTGGAGGAGAAAACACACTTTCAGCATTTTTATTCACATAGCTTGTTTATGTTTCAAGATCACCTTTGTACTTATATGAACCAAAGCTTCCAGATTTTGTCACCCTTATGCGACCATGCGACAGTGACTTATGCCTTCCAAAATTACAACAAAGTAAATATCAAAGTGCATGCAAAATAATTTCTCCAGAACGAGCAAGTAATTTTGTAAATTCGTAAGGAATTTTAGATGAAGCATAGCCATCTTTTATTGATAAATATCATACTCAGTTTGTTCCTTTTTAAAAGAAATACTTTAAGGTTACCAATATTGTGTAAGCAAATACAAAACCATTAATATTTCAGTGAAGTCACCCTGCTGCAAAGCAATTCTTTTTCAGTCCCAACTGACCACCTTCAGTTATGCAAGCCATTTGAAAGACATCTAGTAATGTATTTCTTTCATGGTTAGCTGTAGGCATATAGGAAAAGAAGTTAAAATGCTCTATGTTCAGTGTTAAAAATAAGTATTTTTTTCCCCACAGTATAAGTTTTCAAAAAATCTGTGTTACAAGTTGGCCTAATACAATTTCTTTCCTTGTCTTCCAGTTTTCTGGCTTTATAAGGTAAAGATGACCCTCCATATTATTGCGATTTTGGGATACGGTGCCTCTTTGCAAATGAAATCTCTCTGACAAGAGGAAAAGAACCCTGTATCAGTAACATTAAGCAGTACATGTAGACACAATGAGCTACTATACCAACTCAAACTGGCTTGATACCTTGGGCTTAAATCAGTAGCCAGCACCCCTATAAATAAAAAACCTACTATGAATCCTCCTAAGGGTAGGAAAACAAATCTTTTCATAAAATTTATTGGACAATCCACTCAATCCATTTTAAACACTCTTTAGCACTCACCACGCATATCATGTGACATCTTTAAAAATATTAGCTGGCATCTGCCATCTCCTTAGTGCTACGCAGCATTTAAAGGGGCAGCAACG